TAAAACTCACCTCTTGTGTTGATATTTATCAGCCCTTGCCAGAGCCTTCCCTGACCCACTGATGCGTCTGATCTAGGTCAGAAAATAGACAACTAATTATCAAGGATTTTTCACAGCAAATGCAAATATTTACACTGAAACTTTAACTGTGCTGTATAAGATAACTACATATAAAGAGTAAACAAATCCAAGCTCAGAAGAGATAGTGACTTAATGACCCACATGGTATTTTCAGGACTGTGACATACAAGTCATCTTCATCACTGCTTGTGACATGATTAAAGATCAAATGTAACCCGTATCAACTAACCCCTTTCTCTTCCAGGTAGCGTAATCGGACTTCCAGCTTGGCTCTGTTTTCGATTCCCATCTCTGAATTGGTGTCTTCCCCCAAGGCGTCGTAACGGATGGCAAGGGACGTTTTAGCGGCCAGCATTCTGGAGATTTTACCCTTATTCTTGGCTGTGGTCTGCCCCACCAGAGAGGCGTGGTAGATGAGACCGTATTTGGGCGTATCCCGACGGGTTTTCAGAGCACGGAACAGAGCTTTCTCTGCCCCTAGAATCTGTACGGTGGACGCCGGGTGCTTGGCCAAGTTCAGCAGGGATCCTGATGAGTCACAAACAAATAAACATGCTATTTTAGATGCCGTGTATAGGTTTAATCACAAGTAACCTGTCAAGTTAAATCAAAGCTTTACTTCATTTCATCTTGTGTGACCAGTGACATCATGTTACAGACCAAATAGTGCTCACCTGCATGGGATATGAGACGGGCACCCACTAATTCTCCCACCATGACTGTCAGGTTGGGTGCAATTGCCATCATACGATTCTTCAGATAATCGTACAGCTGTGTGCGATACTCTGATATTTCTATCACCTAGAGGTTGAGGGGGGGAAATGCATAAATTCACAAGAGGTTATGAGTTACCTTAAAGAACGAGAAATAATTTCCAGTTTACAACGGAACTAATCATGTAAACCACTTTAATGCAACAAGGTGACAAACTATATATACTAAACTTGTTTTTCGTTCAACAAACCTGGTCGCACAAGTGCATGATGTTGGCAATGTCCTCTTCGGACACCTCCGTTCCCATGGAGATCTCTGCAGCGAGTTTAACCTCTGCCTCGATCTCCTCTGGAATAACCTCAGACAAGTCTGTTGTTGCCACATTTGTGCGAGCACCTACACAGTGGAATTATGAATACATAGTATATCAAAATAGACAATTATTGTTTTTTTTTTTATGGAATAAGGCAGTATTTATTATATATATATATATACATACATATACACACACACAAAATAGGGAAGAAAAGACTATTGCAAATTCCATTTCATGCCAACTTTAAACATGTGAAATATTTATTTTATTCATATAATATTTAATTTATCCTCCCCACAAAAAATAAGTTAAACCCTAAAACATTTCATTTGAATTTAAAATTATTCTTTTAAGTTTATATAAGCTGTTTATTTCCAGGTTATTTTAGACCTCAGTGTACATCGCTGACCATAAGGAAAACTGAAACTACGTTTTTCTTTCCAACAAAAAAGGAAGAGCATCTATAATCTAGAATATGTAATCTAAATCTAGAAATCCTCATCAAATACTTTCGAGTGTGTACTAACCAATCTTGCGGACAGTCTTGCAGTACGCCAGGTTATCTGTGACGATCTTGCCAATCTCTGGGAAGTGCCAGCCGTACCATTCCCTACAGCGCATGATGTAGTTATTGAGCTCCTTATCCAGATCATCCAGCAGAGCTGCAGAATATGGAAGGTAAGAGAGTGAACCAGGGGTACAGCTGTTTAAAGCACTGCCATCTATATATGTGCTCAAGTATGCGCAAATATACAAACAAAAGTATTCCTTACAAATGGCTTGAACAATCATGGTGTCCACCTTGTCTGGGCTGAACTTCAGCTTGTAACGTGAAAGACTGAGGAAAGATCAAACAAAAAACAGTCAATTGCTGTACAAAAGCATGAATGTTGAGCTTGATGTAAATATCTGCTCAGAAAGTCTCAGTGGTAGTGACGAATGCTGATTAATATCCTCACAGAAGTCGGTCAGCAAAAATAATCATTGACGTGAACAAAGAACGGTTTAAATTGAGATACATCATTGATTTTCAAATGCAAACTAACCTGTGAGCCAAACCAAGAGACATGGCACTGATCTCTCTTGCAGAAAGACCTGTGATAAGCCCCTCCATCTGGTTTCTGATGCCCCTCATGAGCTCCGCCACAGCGGGGCTGTGCACACAGCTCAGGTTCAGCTTCTCCTGCAGGGGGCAGCAGAGAGTCTCAGCTATTTTGTTCTATTGAAGCTTAAAGTGCACCACAATATTGAAATTCACACATCTTTGCATTTCCAGACATGATGCTTAACCATAAACGTAGCACTACCAAATGATTTTCCAGGTTTATAAACAAGCTCAGATGAGGTAGTGACAAAAATGCCTCATGGTTTTTCAGCAACATGACACAATGGTCATCATCATCACAGCTTGTAGTGTTCCATAAGGCAAAAATCAGTAACATGATTTCATTTGGAATGCATATAGCAGAGCTGATTTAAAACATACTGACATTATCCCCCAAAAATGTTGGAAAACCCACCATTTACCTTAATAACTCCTCCTAGTTTAGCATCAGTGATTGCCAGCTGCTCGTGAGCCTCTTTGGCCACAACTTTCTTGAGAACTTTTTTCAGACTTTTCCCCAATTTCCCCTCCACCATCGCCGTGGCCGCTGATATTGACATGAGAAAATAAAAAACGTGAATAAGAGTTTTTCATATTTTTATGCTGCCTTTAATTTTCAATCTTATATTTAGATTAAGATAAACAAAAGGAAATCTGTGGTCTCAGTGGTAGTGACGAACTACTGTTTGACGACCTCATGCTTGAGTCAGATATACAGATACATCATAGACACACAGCTGATGGACATTTAAACTGCTTTGCATATATGAATAAAGCTTATTAAAGGACTATAGGTGTCAAAAGTTTCAGTTCAGCATAGTCACCTGCAAGAGCTTCTGTTGTATCCTGGAACTTCTCAAAGTGTTTCAGTTTTACACTGAAAAACAAAACAAAGGTTGTTAGTGAATGAATGCACACTCAAGGAAAATACCGTGAAGATACCGTGAAATAACAGATTATTCCCCCCCTTTCAATCAAGGAAATGCTGTGAGATTACCAATTTGTGGTTAATAAATATAGATTTGGAATAAATTGCCCAACAAAATATCTTAATCTAAACACAAAAATATTCACTACAAAAATGTCTAAGACTAATATTTATATTAAGTGATAGTTCAACAAAAAATTTGAAGCATATATTTTGAAGAATGTTGGTAACCAGACACCCATGGACATGCATAAAATGGAAGTCAATGAGTGCCATCAAATGCCTAGTTACAAACATTCTTCAAAATATCTAGTTTTGTGTCCAACAGAAAAAACACATACAGGGTTGAAACAAATTGAGGGTCAGTAAATTATGCCAATTTTCATTTTTGGGTGAACTATGCCTTTAATGCCCATGCTTTTCCAGTCTTTTTTTACCACTTTAGAGTTCCTTGACATTTCCAGGTTTCCCATTAAAGTGGGAATGGTTAAGACATGTAGTTCAGCCATGAATAAATACTATATCATCTGAGGCGTTTGAGGGACAAAACAACATGGAACAATTATATATTCTCAAAAGTACTCACACTTTGTTAGCTTTTTCTGGTGTTTCAAACTCCTTCCACAGGCTGTCCACCTGCTGGAGTTTCTGTTCATCCAGGACCTGCACAACAGAAGAGTGTTTTTTTTTTTTCTCCTCACAACTGATGATTAAAATGTACACAATTTCTCAGTCACGATTGAAATGCTTAATGTAACGTTACTTCAAACCCTAATGAGAGACCATGTGGACCCTTGCTCCAGTAAAAGCATTGCCGCATTTAAAGTCTAAATAGCTTCTTAAAAGTCATGTATGAATGTACAACAGCATTCTTCGGTGATGTATAACATTAATGCACAACATTTTGCACTACTGGTTGATTTGAAAATCGTCTAAACGCGACGAATAGTCAGCGAGCGAGTCCTGAGGACACAACGTGGCTATTCTGCAGTGCAGGCCACATGATACACGCTGAACCGTGACTTACTGGCCTCGCTTTACAAACTGGTTATGTATACAGTTAGAAAGAAGGATAGCAGATGTATTCACGAAAATAGTAAGAATGTTTAACTTCAAACTTTCCGAAAGTCTGGTGGCTTTGCTAACTACATCGGCTAGCTAACAGAAAACTCAAAACCTATGACCACCAACTTACTGGAAAAAAAGTCACGATATACATTTTTCAACGTAATAAATATGCTTACCTTGAATATGGCATAGCCGGCGGCAGTTTCAAATAACACTAACATTATGAAATATTTTTTTTCTAGCTCTAAAACAAGTTTATGTCTGCGCTCCCCACATTGAGAGCTTTCCGCTACCGCTACAAGGAGTCTCTCGCCACCACGAGGTGCACATGGGGACAGTGTGAGCATGCGCAGTACTACCATACAACATTACGCATGTGCATTGCCGTCTGAACTGGAGGAATCTTCCTCATGTTCTTTTCATTGTAATTTACAGAACCATGTGTACATGTTATGCACTAAAAACTAAATCCTTACTGTTAATTTTTAAGATGTTCAGCTCCATGTGCTTATATTGTGTATTCATTAGTTTTGGTTACGTTTGAATATGCACAGTCTAACTAACATAAAAAAGGTTGTTCAGTGGATGAACGGTGTTTATGTGTTTTTTAATCTTTCGAATCTTTTTGTAAAAATTGATAAGATCTCTGTCTCGCACAGTACATGCCTCCCCCACGTTTTCCCAAAGTATCCAATAATATTATCTTCGACGGCGAATGGAACCAATCAGAATGAGCGCGATGAGAAAAACAACGCTGTTTGGGTCAACGATTCTCGGGAAGCCCCGCCCCTTTCCAATGACGTAAACGGCGGTGTGTTGTGAGTCTGCTGGTGGTAGCAAACCCTCACATTTTCCTTCATTATTATCAAGCAGTGTTGTTCCAAAGAAGGGCTGCATATTGCGGAATATCATGTCAGATACGGTGAGTTTAAACAAATGTTGTAGAATCGAACTTGTTTGGGAGAGCAGAAGAGAAAGACGGACTTGTAGAAAATGAAAATAAGAGGGCCTATCTTTTAGCCTGTCTGTTTCCATAGCTTAGCTAACAGACTGTGGATGGGAAAGTCTTGCTGAATGAACAGCTAAAGTGTTTTAACCCCTATATTTTCTTTGGTTCCGGAATTTTGTACATTAGTCTCGTTTATTCTGTTTGTAAACTTAAAAAAGAGGCGAATTTTGCTCTCAAATCTTCCACTTAGCCTGGGTGCTATAGTTAGCTGCTCTGGGCCCTGAAAGCAAAGTTCATGTAGCAGGCTTGCCTTGAGCTGATGGACCATGCTGAACATTTTAGCCATTGTTTATTCATTCATTTTCGAAATGTTATTTAGGAAAAGTTGTGTAACATTTAGACTTGTTGTTTTTTGTTTTGTGGGCGCCGTAATGCTTAACTGCAATAGGACTAGTTGTGTGTTTACTGTTAAAGGACTGCTTATTACAGTTTCTTTGCTGCAGACATTAATGAAATACTGAGCAAACAAACTACATCAGGCTGACAATGTTTTTCTGCACTAATATAACCTATTAACATTTATCTGGTAGTATAAAATATCCTAGGAATGTTTTTACTGCACCCACTCCTTGAATAATTATTAGATTCATGTGAGATCAAAACAACATGTCAAAATCTAATGACTCTCATTTTGCTTAAATAGGAGACCAAGCCCTCAAGTGATGGAGGCGAGAAGAAGGATGGAGAATATATTAAACTGAAAGTGATCGGTCAGGTAAATAGAGGTGCTTTCTAGTTTAGGCAAATCAGGTTATTAGCAGATCACATTTTGATAATATTAAGTCATCTAGTAATGTCCAAGCTGACACGGGCTGCTAATATAGCTGCTAAGGAGTAAACCGATTTGATTTCATTTCGTTTTGCAGGACAACAGTGAAATTCACTTCAAAGTGAAGATGACGACACATTTAAAGAAGCTGAAGGAATCCTACAGTCAGAGACAGGTGAGTGATCACTAGCACACAGGGATTTATTAAATCTATCTGCACCACTGATCAAAAGTAGTTTGGGTTTTTAAAAGAAGTCATTTTTGCTAACCAAGGCTACATTTATTTGATCGAAAATACTTTACTAAAACTATTATTGCATTTTAAAGTCACTATTTTATTTTAATATAATTAAAAATGTAATTCCAGTTATGACAAACCTGAATTTTCAGTCTTCAGCGTCATATCATTCTAATATTATGCTAAAAAAAATATCATTTTATTATCAACTTTGAAAACCGGTGTGCTGCTTAATATTTTTTGTGGAAGCCATGATAATTTTTTCCAAGATTCTGTGATGAATAGAACGTTTAAAACAACATTTTTTTTTTAAATAGAAATCTTTGGTAACATTGTAAAAGTCTTTACTGCTACTTTTGATCAATTTAATGCATCCTTGCTGAATTAAAGTTTTAATTTATTTTTAAATAAATCTTACTGTCTTCAACTTTTTAACCCTAGTGTATGTATATACATGACTAGTGTTTGTTTTTGCTGGTATACATTTAAATACATATTAGACTTTTTTTTTTTATTCATTACAGGTGTAATTTACTGTTTTGCATTTTTTTTTTTTTTTTTGCAGGGTGTACCCATGAACTCTCTAAGGTTTCTTTTTGAGGGACAGAGAATTGCAGACAACCAGACCCCCAAAGAGGTACAATACACAGTGCTATGAGTAAAACTGCAACAAGTAAAAGAGATCCAATCAAACTCTGTGGTATTTTGCCATAAATCATCCATCACTTTGTAGGAGCTAGCCAAAGTATGCAGATGCCAACATGGATTCTGTGCCATCATGATATATAAGGGTTTCAATAAATTTATTTTCAATGAGGATAAACGTGGTATGCTGTTTTGGGTTACCACATGGTGTCCAAAATACAATCTGGGAATATTGTAATTTTTTCCTCAATGAGGTGTTTACATAAAGCCTTTTCTGATCCTAGTTTTGTTTTGCAGGTTTCCTACAATACGTTTACATGCATCCAAGGTCAAAAAACATAACATTTTCTCATAATATAAATTATCTGAAACGGTTCAATCAAGGATTCAGTCTCTAAACGCCTTCTTTCCGAGAGTCTGCTCTGATTGGTCAGATGGCCCAGTCTATTGCGATTGGTTGACTGCTTACAGCATGTGTGAGAACCACAACAAAAAGAGCTTGTAAAGTGGATTTGCTTTTGCATCGCAGAAAACAGTGTCTTCCCGACCAGGCCTCAGCTACAACTACAGTGTTTGAAAGTCAAAGTAGCCAATGAAGACCATAGGCTGGCATTATGCAAATTTGTCACAAACCTATATAGGTTTGAGCAGGAAGTAAGACTGGAATTACTGACGACTCGTTTCAGGCAGTTCTGAATCGGTTCTTTCTTTTGGAAGACAGTAACTCCATTTATCGTGCACTTTGAAACTTTGCAAAGCTTTTAGATTCACAAGACCATATTACACACTGCATGAAAGGTTCAGAAGAAGCGTAATAGGGGACTTTAAAAGTAGCTCATTTGTGTTCTGTGACTGAATGAAAAAACACACAACAACATTTTTTTGACAGGTGATTTATTGACCAGCTGGTGGACATAACCACAACTGCTGAAAACTTCCTTTCACCTGCACAAGAGGAATCAGTCATGATCCTGCTCACCATGTTTGTCTCTGTCTGTCTTTCAGCTGGGAATGGAAGATGAGGACGTGATCGAGGTGTATCAGGAACAGACCGGTGGCTGTCGGAATGACTAGACCTCTATTTTTCATGCTCTTTATTTTTATCCTAATTTTGTATGTATGACATGTATTTCATCTGTTTCCTTTTGCTGTTACCTCAAAGGGAAGCAGAAACAAACCATCTGGATCAAATATATGATGCTGAGTTTGAAAGAGTTGGGGTGGGAAAAGTTCTTCCCCTCTGTCTTTGCGCGAACCAATCCCTGCCTTCATGCGCCTCTTTTTAAGGATTCGGGTCACGGTTTACATTGACACATGTTAACATGTTGGGTTGTGCCCTGAGCTGATTGAAAACAGTCCCATAAAGCAATGCTAAAAAACCTTTACATTATCCTGTTAAATCCAATCTACAAATTTTTGATGGCAGCTTTGGTGTTCCTGTTGCTCACTTCTGTTTATGTATTCGGCCATCGTTAAGAGTTCTGGTTTATTGTTTTCGAACATCTCCAAAACTGACCCGCTTAATGCTTGTGAACATACATGCCAATAGAAAACAGAGGTGGTTTATTTGTGCAGTTGTCATCTGATGTTAGAAAAGTGTAAAATGTTTCTTCCCTTTTCTTGCATGTGTCTTATGGGATTTTGCAAGAGGGAGGTCACTGTGTTGTTGTAAATGACAGGTAAGGTTTTGTTTTGCATGGTTTTGTCTAATGTATAGGAATATGAATCTGTGTTGTCACCTTCTATTCTGCAGTGTCTTGAATATTTGGCTCCCTTTTAACCTCAATAATGGATTTCAAAGGCTGGAAATAATGGGTAACCATGTTGTTTGATTAGTACTCAGGGGCATCATTTACATACACACAATAAATACGGCCACTGTACTCATGTTTCGTTTCCTACAATTTTATATATTTTTTTTAATGCTATTCAAGAGGCGAGGGAGTTTGGTCCAGATGGTTTTGTGGATATAGAAGAATTATGACTTTGTTTTTGTCTTGTTTTTTTTTTGTTTGTTTTTTTAATAAATAAAATATGTCATAAAACAGTTTGTGTTTACATGTGAATGTTATAGGATATGATTATGGGAATGTCTCATTTCTGAACACTAGATGGCAGCAACACGTTTCAAGTCTTAACTGAGTGACTTATATTAAAATTAATAAATCTCTGAAATACAGCTGATGACAATAAACTGATAATATATAAAAAGGAATGTCATATAGAAATGTAAACTTGCAGCACTTTGGTATTAATATATCAGACCATCTGAGGAGGGAATCCGAATAATAAAAAAGAATATATATATATATATATATATATATATATATATATATACATTTTTTAAATGAATAAATAGCTTCAATGATTTCTGAAGGATTATGCAACACTGAAGACTGGATTAAGGATGCTGAAAGTTCAGTGTTGAATCACAGAAGTAAATTACATTTTAAAATATATTCAAATAGAAAATAATTTCAAAATGTAATAATATTTTACAATATTACTCAATTACTGTTTTTTAATCTGATAATTTAAAATTGGTGAGCAGAAGAAACTTTAATAACTAAAAACTTATATTTAATTTAATAACACTTCCCCTTAGAAAAAGCGATATATTATTTTGTTTTGAATGTTCTTTTTGGTGTTTTTTTTTTTGGTTTTGGTTTTTTTTTTTGTCAGCAAGAAAAAATAATTATGTGACATTACAATGTAAAACTAAGCTTAACTTATATTAATAGACCACTTTAAAAAAAATCAAAATCCTAAATTTTTATATTTATCAAAATATGACATGTTGCTCTTTGTTGCTGTGACTATGTGGTACTTAGAGATTCCAATTTGATCAATTTGAGAACCACTCCTGTAGCACAATGTTATTATCTAAACTAAAGCAATTACTTTGAGGATCTCAGTGTTATTATGGGATTGATCGAGTCTGACCGGACCTGGACACAAATGAACAATCGGAACAACTTAATAGTGTGTGTGATCATTCTAATGTTAATTAAATGTAATGTTTGACATGTTCCTTAGACTGCAGCTCTAAAAAGATGAGTTTTCATGCAAAAGTAACATTATTCCCTATGGTTTGGTGTGTTTCCAGTTACAGTGTTGGGGATCCTGGTCTGCTGAATGTCAGTGTAGAGTGAGAGAGGGCCTTGCTCTGCTGTACAGAGAGATTGTTTATTTTAAGTGTCTGATTCCAGGAAGGGCCAGAAATTAAGGCAGGAGGAAAAGTGAAACATGGTGTTGGAAAAACAGCGAAGGGTGGATAAAGTTATGAGAATGAGAGAGGAAGATGAGATACAATAGAGAGGGATGTAATGAGGTTCTTGGAAAGAAAGGGAACACTCAGAAACAGTGCCAATTTGAAGCTACATGTTTTTTTTTCTTCAAAGTTTCAGCTTCAGACCAAAGACCTTCAGATTCAGTCATCATTGTTACTTGAGGACTTGAGAAGGAGGCTGTGTTTGTGGTTGTCTGTGTATAAAAAGTATCATAGCAAGGCGTTGTGTCCTAGCCTACTGCAGCGTACAAACATAATGCGTGTAATTAAAGGGTTAAAAAAAAAAAAAAAAAATTCTGCCAGTATTTACTCACCCTCATGTTGTTCCAAACCTCTATATGTTGTAATCAAACAGATCTCATTCCTCATTGACTACCATATGTATTTTTCCTATGGTAGTAAATGAGGAATGAGATTTGTTTGATTAAAACATTCTTCCAAATATCTTCCTTTGTGTTCAGCAGAACAAATAAACAGAGGTTTGGAACAACATGAGGGTGAGTAAATACCTAGAATTTTCATTTTTGGGTGAACTAACCCTTTAACATGAATAATGTGTATGCTGGTTGTTAGGCACAAAGTGTTGCTGTGGGGGCCTCTGCTATAGCCGAACCCCAACGGGATGATCCAATTTCTGTGCCTGGGATACTGCACCTCCGAAAGCCTAAACACTACCAGATGAGACTTCGCAAAAAAAAAAAAAAAAGGGCTGGTGTGTGTGTTTATTCAGGGGGGAAGGGTGCAGATCACCTATGAGCATACGTTTTCATTAAAGTTAATGTGGTAGAACAAAGCATATGTCTCTGTTACTGTACATTTTGTTGAAAGGATCATAGCAAGAGTTGTACTATGAAAACATATGAAACGTTTTTAAATCCTCCCAAGTCCATAAACATCATATAGGCTAGGCTACATTTCAGCTAAACTGCAAACGTCTCGTTTTGTATTTCCGCGTGACTGATGAGTAGCTTTTGTGAATGTTTACATAATGCCTATTTGAGTAACACTAAATGATTGTTATTTATGTTACAAAAAAATCTTGCTAATTGTAAAGCCTGAGGAATCTCATGACTCAAGCTTGTGAGTCACTCTTTTTTTGCAGGTCGTTCTTTTAAATTGGGCAAAATTAAGGGTCAATTTAAATAATGATGTAATAAAAATGCTAAAGATTTCCTTTGTCTAAATGATTCCCGTTCACACGTATCCATGAAAACGACTAAAATCCCTGTATTGTGCATGACAAAGTCATGTAAAGAAATATAACCCATCTAGACTGAACACGTATTATGCATGCACATGGCGTCACCGTTTTCACAAATTAATGTTTTTGTAGATTATATGCAGACAAAAACGGTATCGTTTTCAAAAACTTGCACTTTCAAACCCGGTTTCAAAAGTTTGCGTTTTCAGGCCCCAAAGCATTATAGTCGTGTAAATGATCGGCCAAAATGCATAAAAAGTTTTCAGTTTTTATATGAAAACGGCAAGGGAAACGGCCCCTAAAGTGGAAATTGAGATAGTCTTTTCTTCCCTATTGTGAAGCGAAAAGGCTTTATGAACAAGAAAAAAAAAATAAGGTGGGATTTGATTTTGTCCAATGGGCATTGATTGGATTGTTGTGATCTGTTATGGATCCCCAAGAGATCAGAGGAGAATGGGCCAAATGATTCAAGCTGATAGAAGAGCAACTTTGACTGAAATAACCACTCGTTACAACCGAGGTATGCAGCAAAGCATTTGTGAAGCCACAACACGCACAACATTGAGGCGGATGGGCTACAACAGCAGAAGACCACTCATCTCCACTACAAATAGGAAAAAGTGCCTACAATTTGCAAGATCTCACCAAAGTTGGACAGTTGAAGACTGGAAAAATGTTGCCTGGTCTGATGAGTCTCGATTTCTGTTGAGACATTCAGATGGTTGAGTCAGAGTTTGGCGTGAACAGAATGAGAACATGGATCCATTATGCCTTGTTACCCCTGTGCAGGCTGGTGGTGGTGGTGTAATGGTGTGGGGGATGTTTTCTTGGCACACTTTAGGCCCCTTAGTGTCAATTGGGCATCGTTTAAATGCCACGGCCTACCTGAGCATTGTTTCTGACCATGTCCATCTCTTTATGACCACCATGTACCCATCCTCTGATGACTACTTCCAGCAGGATAATGCACCATGTCATAAAACTCGAATCATTTTAAATTGGTTTCTTGAACATGATAATGAGTTCACAACCCATTACATTAAACAACTACATTGTCGACTGAAAAACGATTAAAACTACATTTCATGACACAGTAACAGTGATATTTTAAAATTTTGCTGCCTTTCTCCTCTGACCGTTACTACTTATATCATCCCAAAATACAATTTGAAACAAATGTTCAGTCTTGCTTGTGAAAGATAATTCCTCAAGACCTAGGCATTTATCTCAATTCTCGTTATGAGAAGTATGAGAAAGTTGCCCTCCGCAATATGGCGCCGCCGTTGACGTACGCTCCAGCGCCCAATTGACGTCTCTGTTTTTATTGTGTCTATGGGTGCCGCCCTGGAGGTTAGTAAACACGCAAGAAGAAGAGAATATTATTTTGACAAAATTACAGCACAACTTGCATTTAAAAAGCTTTTTATATTTTATGGACAGATAAGCATGTGTTGTGCATATAGCAACCAAATATTCTTTGGGTTAACAACACAGACAACGCCATTCAAACCATTCATGAACAACGGATGTGTTTGACGGATTGCTCTGACTGTTTGGTGCAGCAACCTTGAGTAAACACTGTAATTGGACCTCAAGGAAGAAAATAAAATAATACAAATACGAGTCTTTAAAGGAGAACTCCGGCGCAAAATGAACCTTTGGTCTAATTACACATTGTTACCTAGTCAACCGTTATCTAAGATTTGTTTTCATGATTGCCGAATGTAAATAGTTTTATCTATAAAAACAGTTTAGCCTATAACGCTAGTATAACGCTAGTATATAGGGCATAGAGTAATGACAAATAAAAATCGCTTGTTATTACCACTAACAAGGCTCAAAATAGCCCCACATTAACACGGTAGCATAATAAGGGTCTCTACATTCAAACCAAAGCATTGATAACTTTGTCAGTGTCCATACAGTTTAATAAGAAGATATTTTATACACACAGTCAACTTCGCGAATAGAGGAAGAAGCCATCTTTGAAAAATAGTCTCTACCAGTAGATCTACGAACGCCGATCCAAGTGCGCTGGTGAGATGTGAATAAGGTGATAAGGTGAGCGTGAACAATAGGCCACGTGTACATATTGAAGAGAAGAAAATGGTTTGTGTTTCTTCCGGAAACAACAGACCATATGAGATTCTGCACAGTTCAGCGCACTTGGATCGGCATTCGTAGATCGACTGGTAGAGACTATTTTTTAAAGATGGCTTCTTCCTGTTTTCGCGAAGTTGACTGTGTGTATAAAATATCTTCTTATTAAACTGCATGGGCACTGACAAAGTTATCAATGCTTTGGTTTGGGACCCTTGTTATGCTGTCGTGTTAGTGTGGGGCTATTTTGAGCCTTGTTAGTGGTAATAACAAGCGATTTTTTTTTTTTGTCATTACTATATGCCCTATATACTAGCGTTATACTAGCGTTATAGGCTAAACTGTTTTTATAGATAAAACTATTTACATTCGGCAATCATGAAAACAAATCTCAGATAACGGTTGACTGTAACAATGTGT